GCCGCCGCCGCCCACGCAATGCGCTTCCGCGCAGGCCGCCTCCGCCGCCAAGGCGCCGACTTTAACGAGTTCCACCTCTCTCCGGGCCTCGTCGCCCACCCACATTCCAAGCGTCTTCTCATCGTTCTCCAAAACCTCGGCAATCTCTCCGCTTCCTTCTACTCCCTCCCCGGCTACCATTTCATCTCCCCTGTTCTCGGCCTTCTCATCTACGACGCCGTTGGAACGAACTCGACCGAGCTGGATGTGAAGGTCACGAAGGAACCCATTGAAGTGAACTTCTCCAGGATTGGCGGAGTGGCGGAGAGAAAGGAGGAGCTTTTATGTGCGGTGTTTGGGTTGGGTGGGAGGGTGCAGATCTCGAGCAGAGGGAGAGTGTGCTCTGTTAAGGAGCAGGGGCATTTTGGGTTGGTGGTGGAGGGAGGAGGAAGGGAGAAAGGATTGAAGAGGTGGAAGGTTGTGTTGGCGACTGCGGCAGCGGCGGCGATCGGAGCGGTGTTAATTGGATTGGTGGTGGTGGCGATGCTGAAGGGAAAAAGGAAGGAGAGGAAGATGGCGGAGATGGAGAGGAGAGCTTATGAGGAAGAGGGGCTGAGGGTGTCGATGGTGGGGGATTTGAGGGCATATACGGCGGCGCCGGTGAGGACGGCGCCGGTGATGGAGAATGAGGATGGTTTGCCTATGTGAGGGAGGGGGGATTGGTGCGCTAGGATGTCTAAATGAAAGTTTTATTTTTTTTTTTCCTTTTCTTTTTTTAATTCTTTTGCCATTGTGGTAGATTTATGATGTTATGATTTTATTGTTTTTGAAATAAATGTTAGTGGTCTGCATTGCATTTATAATTTATATTCTTCAAAAAAATGGTGCATTTATTATAGCTTTAGTTAAAATATGAGAAGGACAACTAGGATGAGCTATGTTGTACACCACTAGCTTAGGGTTCTTGCATGGTTATGTTGGTATTGGTTTAAGAGGAACAATTATCTTGGCTTGGGCTAATCACATGATTTGGATTGTGTTTTTAATTTGTTTGGCAAAAACATTTGGCCTGGTTTGTGAATCTCCATGTAAATTAAATTAATTAAAATGAGATTTGAGTTTCCAAAAAAAGATAATTTAGGGATTGAATAAACTTTAATATAATAAATTTTATAAATTAGAGCTTGATTGATTACAAAATTTTGAGAGCGAATAAAATTCTCTTGACATGGAATAAACTAGACAAATTGGGTGTAAGAATTGAACTTATCTTGTTTCCGCTGGGCCTCTTGCATCAATGTCTAAATCACGCAAGTGATGCAACTAATTGTTTTCCCTTCTTTGCTACGTTGTTTCCACGGCCTTCCCACCGTGGAGTCCCGCGATACTTTCATTCCTTTTTTCTCCTTTCAGCATTTAGCACCATCTCTTTCGACTATGTAGGAAAGATTAAAGTTTAGGTTAGGGCATCACAACTTTCTCCCCTCAATGCACTGATCTCAATTTTGCTCAAACTCATTACCATTGTGACAGAACCCTCACGATACAGCTGTCCTTAGAGCTAACCGAGAAGGAAAAGAAGGGATCACCGTCCTTAGAGCTAACCGAGAAGGAAAAGAAGGGATCACGGCGTACTAATACAACCAAAATTCCTTTTGCCTCCTAACAACTTCCCAAACTCATCCTCCTTGCCACCATGGCTGAGACCTATGATAAGCTCACTCCTCCTTGCTTTCTACTTCTCTTTCTTTAATAAATCAAACTTAAAATCAATTTGATTTATTATTTAGCTTGAAACTCTCATTAGGTTAGAATAATGTTAATTTCAAATCAATCCTCACACTTTCTTATGTTATTAACAATGAAAATCACATTGGTAAACTTATTTAATAATGGACTTGAATCTAAGATAAGAACAAAAATTAATTAAGCTATGTCGAGCGTAATAACTTATCTATTTTAGTATGCTTTCTCGCATAATTGAATTTTAATTTGATGTCTTGCATTGTGTAGAATTTGCTGGTAATTTCTCTAGGTGCAAGTAGTTAAGCCTCAAATAAATTTAGAGTTCAACTCTTTTCTTGAGGTAAGAAATTACTATTCATTATTATGGGATAAACATATCATTCCTAGTTAGGGGCGTTAAAATTGCTACATGTATTAAATTCCTAATTAGTTGAGGTTTGTCGGTTACACCCTTTAAAATTTGTTACAATAATTACAAAAGATTTTATTTATTGTTTATAATATACTTTGTTAGTAATTAGTATTATTTTACTGTTACATAAACTCTTATTTAATAACTTGTATGTCATATTTTAGTATCTGATTTTTTTTTTGTTCTATTGTTTTCACGGGTTAAATTTAATTATTACAAATTCATAGCTGTACAACTATTGGTGAACATATTGTAGTTGTATTTCTATGCTTTGATTATGGTCTATGAACTATTTATGATATTATTATATTGTTATGCTAGTATTATGACTAGCTTAATCGATGGGCTCTCACAGGAATCATTGGATTTTCATGGGATTGATGTCTATATTTTCTTATTTCAGGGTTTCGTAGAATATATATATATATATATATATATA